TTAAAGACCTTGAGCTACAGTTTGACCGAGTCATTGAGGAAGTGACACCAGAGAAGTGGCGAAAAGCATGTCATTAAAGAAGAGAATAAAATGTAAACTCTTGACTACTTGCTCATACGAACCATTAATAAGTTATTATAACGTCAAGAGGAGATGACAGTTCCAGAAAAGACGAAGAGTATTAAAATTTTTTATATTTTAATTTTCTTCCTAAAATATTTTTTATGTAATGTATAAGATAAAAAATAAAGGTACCTGATAGTACGTCCTATGCCTCACATTTAATCTTAATAACATTTTGATTCACTGTAACTTTTTGTTAAGACATCAAGAAAAAAATATAGTTAGTAACCCAGTTTTCTTCGAAGTTAAATATAAAACAGAACATTATAAATTTTCCGACAGATAAGTCTATATTACAGTTTTTTAAAACAAACATAAATTTTCCGACACATAAGGCTATATTACATTAATATAATATCTTATTCCGAATACAAGGATATAACAGGTTTTATATTTTTGTCCAGTCCAAATTTTATATAAGATTGCAATTGACAATTACAAACAGCTTTGACATAACGTCGATGGGTCAAGTATTGTTGAGTTATTTATTATTAGTATTAAATATACTTGAATAATTCCACCAACTTTGTTTTTCAATATGTTAAACATAAATATATCTTTAATTGTCAGTTACGGCACTCTTCGAGATTTATACAAAAATTAAAAGTCAAATCAAAATATGGTTGCAAGATTTTATGTTAAAAAATACATCAATTTACCCAAACCCGGGTAGTACACTCAGAAAAAAAAACTTTATAAAATTAAAAAAACAAACGCTAACGATTTGATCAGGATTAAATAAGACTTTGCTTCATTTGTGCTTTTTAATAAGTCAATAAGCAGCTATATGATTGTGTAATGTCTTCTTATTAAAACTAAAGTAGTGTCTGCATTTGGATTGAAAAGCAAACCATTCAAATGATTATTAACAGATAATAAAATAAGCATCACAAAATATTATTTTAAATGTTTAAAATAACTATTTAAAAAAGTCATATATTTAAAACAAAGGGGCCATTATAAATTGTAAGGAAAGTTCTTTTTTTCTTATAAAATATATTTTTATTGGAATAAAATTTGCCCCGACTTTGAATTAATAATATCAGTCTTACTTAAAATCAAAGGAACAGATTTTTTTCTATCCTATCTAATTAGCTTTACTTTGGTTTTGTTTGGAATGTTTAGGTGTGATCTTTCACCCCTTCTTGGTTGCACTATTTTCTAATGCTTAATTTTATACAGACAGTATATGATATATATACTGCATTGCTTTTTTGCTTATCACCAACAATTTAAAAAATTAACTACTCTAAAACCAACAAGAAAATGGTTTCAAAAACTTGGAGACACTGAAAATGCAAACGGCGGTCACTACCTAACAACACAAGTGAACTACAGAGGAGCACGCAGATGCTAATGGCAGTTTTATCCCTTTGTTCTATTGGCTGGTAAAAGTCACATCATAGAAGATCCTCTTTTCCTTTTAAAATGTTAAAGAACTCTTTTAGAAGTAAATATAAACGTTCAAGTTTGATTAAAGTACTCAACTTATTATTAGAAGAGAACGGAAAAACGTCCTTTTGTAATGAGCAATTAATAATTTGTTTTGAACATAATTCTTGACTCAAACTAATAATTTCCTATAGATCAACTAATTTATGTATTCTTATCTTAAACCAAGATTAATGAATTCTGAATGAATCCTTATCAGAACAATCCACGGCAAGGATTTGGTAGATTCTGGTTAAGATGGTTTTCATTAGGTCAGAGGCATGGTGCCTCGATTTAATAGCGTTTTACTTCAGAACAAGTCCGTTATGCAGTGATACCTAGGTTTAAATATGGCAAGTGTGCTTTGCCGGGCTACTTTAGGCAAAGTTCGAAATTATTCGATATATCGTAGTTTTATTCGATATTTCGTAGGAAGGAACCATTAATCTGAAGCCGGAAAAATCCGATCTTGACACGGACAATTAAAAACCATAGTGAAACTATACACAAAAATTATCCACTATTTCCTCTAAAAAAAACTTCAGGATCTAAAAAATTGTACTTCATTGCCAATACTAGTGGTACCGACAATGAAGAAGACTCCAATGAGCGAAGAAAATTTCTGTAACTATATCAAACAAGTTGCCTACGAGGGAATCATGGTTCAAGCAGAGAAGACGAAGCAGCTACCACTTAAAAGTTTTCGAAAATTCAGGTAGGAAACTACCAGTTTCAAGTTTAGACAGGGGCAATGGAGATGCCTGTAATTCCAAATGTTTTTATAAGATCGGCACTAAACATGGTGAAATCAGGATGCCACACAAGGAACCAGATCCAAAGCGCGAAATTAGTGAAAAGCAAAGGCTTCAAAGATGTAACTGTACCAAAAAATATACCATTAATGTTTTTAAATGTAAAGAATCAAAATTGTTATGCAATGCCTTGGTATGTTTTTTAATAGTGAAAGATTACTAATTTTATTTGTTTTTCTTCAAATTTTATTATTTTTAAAAGTATCAAAGTAAACAAAAAACAAAATATAGAGTTAGCAGCCAATTATTTTTCTCAATGTCATGCAAAATGAAACACTAACAATTTTCTTAGATCCCAGCCTGTTTTATAGGTATTCATTAGAACGCGTCATTCTAATTACAATTATATGACACATTTTATATTTTATTCCATCTTTTTTAGTAACGCAACGATTTTTTTTGGTACAGGAAGTTACAGTTGTATAATTTTTGGTATTTAATAATATGTCCTATTTGTCTTTTAAAAGATGATTGTTACTATCACTGCCGAAGGAATTTAGTGCATCTAGTTTTTTATGTGCCCCTAAAAGAAGAAATCCATGAATATAAAGTTTGGGCTGTTGGCTGCTACAAGGGTAAAAATTGATACGCCTCAGATGGCTATGATATATTCGCAGAAATATAAATGATCTTCCACACATGACAGGCATTTTGCGTCATTAATTCCTTTTTGTCTGAAGGATCTGGACAAATTTGGAGCAAATATTACAGTAAAAATGGCGCATCCAAACTTTTACGATCTGTTTGTGAACTTCTCAATTTTTTTTTCATAAATTCACAAGTTTCCGTATTAACACAATTCTGTTGCCGGCCCTCTTTATCTCTAGATGATATTTAGGAGCAGATCTTCTATATATCGTGCGATATTGCGATCTAAGAGATGCAAAAAATGATCTACATTTAATTTTTGGTATCCGTAGTGGGCCTAAAATATGCGTGTCTAAAAACTATTGAAAAATTCCAAAAAAAAACTGCATCTTCCTTTGCCATTGTTCTTCACTAAACTTATAGCTTTTACGAAATTGCAGTATAAGCATATGTTTTCAAAACTGAGTGGATTGAACTGCAGGAAATGCTTGTCTAATGATAGGCTGTGGTACAATGGCACCAGTTTCGTTAAATTTCTTTGCAAGTCTTTAAAATTTGTGTTTGGAAGAAACTCGTTGCTCTGGATAAAGTCCAATTTACTGGCAACACGACCCGTAGCAACCTTGTTATTATTCCGACTGTATACTTAAAACATATCATCTATTCCACGCAAGCAAGTCACAGCATTCTACGAAATTAAATGAAAATTTTTGCTAATATCTCGAAACAAGTTGAATAAAATATTTAAATATTAAATAGGCTAGGACCTCCTAAAATCGCTAACGTTGGCTAGTTTAGTACGAAATATCGAATAATTTCGGACTTTGCCAAAGTAAAAAGTTTTCAAGTATTCAATGTTGCCGCTTCTATATAAACAGGCAATATCATGCTTAGTCCAAATATCACCCCGTATATATTATTTCATTTTTAAATTATATGCAAGAAATAAAGTAGATTTTGTTTAGGTTATTGAAACAAAAAACCAACCCAATAATTTTGTTCGAGTTTTCCAATACCTTACGCCTTTGAAATAAAAATTAATTTTCATGGTTCTTATGTAATATCAACATTGAACACCGTAATTTCGTAGAAAGTTTCACACACAGCATTTAGCTTCTTTCCATTTATTTCGGCCTTTTTCGAAAATTAATAATCAATTAATTAAAAAAGATGATTCCTTCTTGTCAAGCACCAAAGCCCAATTTTTTTAAGGTCATACTTTATTAGATTTTATAAAATTATTGTAATCAAAGCGGATGGCCAAAAAAGGGCGAATAGTTCGAAATGACGGTGTTCAATGTGAAAATCATGAAAATTAATTTTTATTTTAAATATGATAGAGGTAGGTTTAAGAAAACTTGAAAAAAACTGGGTTAGTTTCCTAAAATTCGAAAATTAAATAATATACAGGCCGTAGTAAATAAAAAAACCCAACGTATTCATGTATATTTCATGCCAATGAATGCCTGAACCCTTCCACTAATCATCTGGAAAGTAGGTTTAATTAAAGCAAGAAACTATTAAGATATCTTTAAGGATGAACATTTCTTAAAAATCTAGACAATTTTTTACTTCGATAACCGTAACACAGAGGTAATAGAAACCTAAAAAAAAATACTTTTGTGTCGGGAATATACACGGAAATCCAATTAAACTAAGCGAGAAGAGGAAGAAAGAAGAAAACCGTTTCGATATTTGGAGTTAAGGTACGTTCCAAGTGTCATTTCCAGTTCAACCACAAGTTGCTGTCAATCTGCTTATTTGAAGCGGAACCAATGGTATATATTATTACATTTTGAGATTCTGTGTTAAATTTTAAACATGAAAGAAAAATTGTGTTTTCAGCTTAACTAGCTTTGAAAATGCATATTTTTATGGTTTTTAAAAATTTGATCTCATATTCGGCAAAATGTTAAGAGAGACACTTAAGTTTACGTTTTTGTTATTTTTGTTGTCTACATTCATACAGAGTGTCCAGAATTAGGCACATTTGTATAGATGCGGTAACACTACAAATCGAATTTTCCTTTTTATCAGTGGACTTACCGAGAAACTCGGCGGACGTGGTCCCGAAGCTGTTGCCGGCGGCAGCGATGTGACCGAAAGGGAAGCTACCCGGTTGACCTTGAAATACGGGCGGTCTTTGGGGCGGCGAGTTCGCCCTAGGCTTCGCCAGTATGCTGTCTATCGTGAACAAAGAACTGCCGCCGCTCGGGTTCGACGATGTCGTCGCCGTGCAACTTTTCCGGTAGACCGGCTTGAAGCCGTCGTTCAAAAACATGAAATGGGGTGGCAAAACGGCGGCGGGCGCCGACGTTTCGACCATCCTGAAATCCTCCTCCGCGTAATCTTCCGCGCCGCTGGATTCGCACCAGTCCAAATCACCACCGTCGCGTTTTATGTTAGCCAGCGTAAAAAACTGTGTTCACCGCAATATCACAACGATCGAACGGACTAAGAAAGATTAAAGTTGTGAACCATTCGATCGCAGCGGATCCGCGATAAAAGACGTGAAGAGTTTGCGACGCGCCGCCCATCCGGCTCTCCTATTGGCCGATCTATGCCAATAGGGTAGAGCCGATTTCGTCCCTTCTAGGGGCGAGATGTAATACGCGAAGGGTGCCCCCGACGACATAGAGCTGTCACAGTTAAAACTTGATAACGTAAAAGGTATATCTGTTAAACGATTTGTCCCTTTCGCCGACGTATGTATGCGTCCGGGCGTGCTATAGTAATCGGCTAGTTATTTAAATTAGGGGCATTATGCTTTTTAGATGGCACGTCGCGTATTAAAAGATGTGTATTATTCGGAAATCTTTTTATGCGGAGGGGACAATGAAAAATTATATGTAATGGCCGCTGATGTGTGCGTGCGTATCGGGATTATCGTCCAAGGATAATCTTTTAACGTATTTCGGTGATAATACCCTGTACCTACTCGCTGGCATACGTGTAGGGTAAAAGAAAAAGAATCGGACCATATATTAAAATGCTCAACTCAAAATTTAATGTTTACAATCTATCTCTCTAAATTCGAAAAATATTGTTTTTTCTACTCCTGTCTGTTATAGTATATTATGCAACAAGTGCGGTAAACGGCATTTGATTCACGAGTTTATTTGACACGAGCGGAGCGAGTGTGTAATAAACGAGTGACTTAAAAAGTTTTTCTACTCCCGTCTGTAAAATACCTAATTACACACCGATCTACCAGGTCAGTTTCGTTTCCCACGGGTCCGAGAGACTTCGTACATTTCCGGAATTTTAACGCAAGGGTTTGGTAGTAATCGGATGTTTTCGGAGATATTTCCCGCACTTTGAATTTTGACGTTTGTCAATTTTGACGATTATGATCAAAACTAACGGTCGTAGAAAAATTATAGTATGCAACACGTTCTGTAAACTTTTTAAGTCACTCGTTTATTAAACACTCACTCAACACTCAAATGTCGTTTACCGCACTTGTTGCATAATATACTATTACTACACACATCCTTAGTCTATTACATTTTACAATTATAACAATATAAGTACATTAGATTCTCTATGAATTGTATCAGGCAGATATGCCTAAATTACTAGGTATGGTAAAGTGTAAGTTTTAGAGTTTTTTTAAAGTTAGTATCTTATTCTTTCGATAAAACTGTCATTGTCTGGTTTAATGTGATTAGAATTAACAATCGAAATATTATACCGGCTGTCCGACGGAAATAGGAAAACAGAAAGTTCCGGATATTAAAAAATATGTATTCCAAGAGAAAATGGTGGAAATTATTTTGCTAGTTACTAAAATACCCACCAGGGGGTTAATTGTTATCTTGAATTTTAAAACTCGATTTTCTGCTTAATGCAATTTGCACTATATCTACAAGGAAAGTGGTGGGGGTGTTGTAACATTTTCTTAAATAAATATTGATCCAAAGAAGCTATCATACTTCCTAAGCATGACGCTTACCTTCCCATCAGGTGACGTTTTCTGGCATCATTTGTCTACGTCATTTTATAGTCCTAACATAGGCCTAAAAACCCAGTGAAAATTGGTTCTGAATATCTTTATACTAACCTTAAAAAGATTAAAAAAACGTAATGCTACAAATGTTGGAATTGGGAAAATTTTCTATTTAGCTGGTTGTTATTAATGCCTAAGTATTTTGTTATAAAAATTTTGTTTTTGTCTTTTACTTTTTTACGATACCTTTGGTTCGTATAAAGTTAACCATAGTATGTGATATTCGCTTTGATAGCTTGTTCGTTCGTTGTTCTAATTTTTTAATTAATAATTCGGTTTAGTCAACTAACCAAAACCAATAGGTTGTTGAAGACTAAATAATTTTATTTATTTCGTTCATCAAAATTAATTTATTAAAATAAGTAAAAGGAGGTACGGTAGTAGGGAAACGGAAGGTCCCAGTAATTTGAAAACAAATTTATTCCAAAAGAGAGTGGTGGGAATTATTTTCTCGTTTTTAAAATAGCCACTAGGGGGTAATTGTTATCTTGAATTTTAAAACTCGCTTTTTGGGTTGATGCTTAATAAAGTGAGCGGGGTGTTGGTACATTTTATTAAATGAATATCCATATCTCCAAAGGGCTTAACGCATTTTAATAAACTATTGTCGTTGCTTACCTTGCCACCAGGTAACGTTTTCTGACATCATCTTTTTTTACGTCATTCCAATACGGGCCTAACAACCCAGCGAAAACCGGATCTCAACTTCTTTATTCTCACCTAAAAAAGAGTAAAAGAACGTAATGTAGTGCGTAAAGTGTGCGAAGGTGTAGTTATTTTATTATAAAAATTTTGTATTTATATTTAACTTTTTTTACAGAACCTTAATTACAGAACCTTAATTTATTTGTATCACTAGTTTTTTCGTTAACAATTAGAAATGAATTATTTTTGTTAAAACAGCCTCCTAAATCGTTGCCCTTATTGGGACTGAGGTATGTGATTAATACAAATGCTGCAACTTAGTAACCAAAAGGATTTGTTTATTTGTGTCTCATAGTTTTCGATTCAGAGACTGTAATTGACATTTACTCCCAGCTCTTGTACCCCTAAGAGTATAAAACATATATTCAATCAAGACCCACCGATAAAAAGATGTGTATTGTTTTTAGTTCTTTTTATGCATGCTGGAGACAATAAAATATTACATAGTGGCTGCTGATAGTGCGTGCATATCGGAATTATCGTTCAAGGATTATCTTTTAACGTATTTCGATGCTAATACCCAGGAAAACTTAAAATTCTCAATAAACTCAGAAAAATAGTGGAAGTTAATTTAAGCGAACATTTTACCCAGCAAAATATCATCGAAATTGCTAACGTATAATGATTATTGGTAATTTTAAGTAAAAAAAAAATAGTAATTGCAACTAAAAAATATTATTTTGCCACATAGATTAAAAGAATATCTCCACCTAAAGTAAGACAATTCCGGCATATGTTTCAGTCTGTTCAAATTAATATATTCATAAAAGTCTACCCAATCATTGGTTTAAATATACTAATAGGATGTAGGCCCTGATTCTTAGCATTCAAGATATATCTAGTCTATCTGCAGGTAATCATTATCTTGGTAAAAGTGTCGTAATCTTTCCTCAAAATGAGTATAATCTCTTGAAATATATTGTATAATATTTTTTTAATATTTAAATAGTTAAAAAGCATTACTCCTGGTTTATTTGTTTGTTATTTTTAGTATAAAGTTAATCTTGTATTTGGAATAATACAGCTAATATTTTGTATTACACTTTTAATTTTCGATCTTGAATAGTGCTTTTACATTTGATTTTAAGACCTAAAATATGGTAGGTACGATATAGTTAGTAGTAAAGAATAATCTTTTCGCCTCTAGGCAATCTTTGATCTCGTTCTTTTAAAAAATGGAATATCCTATAACGAAAATTTAGAACAAAAGTAATCTAATAAGTTAATAAAATAAAACAAAACAGAAATATGATCAGAAACTAACCAAAAATAAAAAAAACCTTTTTTGATCGAAGATTAGGTATTATATTATTGTTACCAGCTGCTTGCGTTTTTATTTTTCTCCTTTGAAATTGGAAATATAGTTTTTTTTTTTAAGAGGAAATTGACAAATTGGAAATTTTTCTTCCCTGAACCAAATTAGAAACAAAAAGCCTAACCCAACGATACTGTGCCAATTAAGCGTTGAAATAAAATTTAGGAGTAATATTTGAGGATGACTTGCGTTTTAAATGTCATTTAGAGCATAGAGCATGAGAGCATAGTTAGCGTTAAAATAAGGAAGAAACTGTGCAAAAGTCTCGTCTTGACATTCATTAACTATTGCTATATTGATTACTTTCCGAACCTTGATAAACTCACAGTAAGTAGGATTCAAAAATTCATGTTGTAGATTTATTTACGGCCTCCGTAAATATTACAGAGTATCAGCGAGAATATTTGAAATATTAAAAAAAAAAAAATTGCTCATTTTTGTAGACCAGTTAATATCTACGAATACATCTAGGTATTTAGGTGAAAAACTTACTTTTAGGTATAGCAAGTTTAAAAAAAATTAAAAGTTGTCTCTTCCTCATTATCCTTCGACTATATTTAGGAGTTCATCTATAAGTTAGTTACTATTTACAATAATATGAATAACGATCTGAAAAAAACTCTCTGTTGACAGTTTTCCGGGAAAAACTAAAGCCGATTCGCTCTCCTCTGAAATTTAAATGGCGTTTTGGACTTTGCTTTTGTTTGTGTTGTATGTGGTAAAAATATTTGTATATTACATGTTTTATTTGTAAAATTTAGTGTTTATTATTATTCTCTAAATACCTCACAGGTTAGTTACTGATTAGATTTCGCCTGTAAACTTTGCTTAATAAAGTCATGTTATTATTGTTATCATTATTAATTCTGCGTTAGGATGAACCACAAATTGCTCTCGTTATATGCGCAATAATTGCCATCAACCGTTAATACACTTGAAGGCATATTGTTAACTTTTTTTTACCCTGCATCATATTTTATTGCCATCCATTTTAAATTGTCAATTTTCGTGTCTATTGATTTAAGAGACGAAAAAGACGTCGTAAAAAACTGAAACTGAAGTCCGGCTCATTCGACACAAAAAAAAATCAGATTGCTCGGGAGAAGAAAGATGTCGCTTATGACATCTTTTGCGTTTCAAGCGTCGATATGAGTATCATCTGCTTAATCTCCCACCAAGTTTATTCTGGGCGGAGTTGAATCCGAAATATGTACTATTGGCCGAGGCGGGGTATCCTCATTTCCCTTACTAATCGTTTAATCCTGCGTGCTCGCCGGCTGGTTGCTTTTCCAAAGGATCCGCGCGTCGACTCTCTTTAAGATAGCTAAATGTGATTTTAGTGTTTTCAGGCTAGTGCAATCTCGAGAACGTTTTCTGTTCTGATGCGAAATATACGGTGTCCTAAAATTAACGCCGGATTTGAATTTGCCGTCATGATGATAAAATTCTTGAGAATTCTGAAGGAAGCAAATTTAAAGGAATTCCATAAATTTCCATACAATAAAAAATGTCTAGACACATTGATTGAGTATCCCCCAGCAATGCATAGCAACCACGTAAAGTAATCTAAGAAACAATAAAAACAGACAGACCTACACTAAAGATC